TGGGTGCATAGAAATGGAAGGGCTGATTGCATTGCTGATCGTTAAATATACCACCGATGGGTCAACTGGAAGTTCGAAAATCTTTATATTAGGTAATGGGTGCTAAATGAAGTATTGAATCGATTGCCCCATTCTGACACAATTCTATATTATTATCAAAGAAACCTTTTCCCGGGAGTTCAATTATATATCTCACAGATTGACCGAGATAAAGTTGGGCGGTGCCACTCCCATTGTCCAATTTTTGTTTTGGGTTCGATAAAACTTAATTGTGCCATCCTATGTTTTGTGTAAAATTCAAAGTCTCTGACTTGTTTATTTAATGAGTTATCGCACTTTTAGCAGTTTTAATCAAAATATATGGGAAGTGGGCGGGGTTAACATCCAATTTCACCCATTTTCACACTGTCGGCAAGGGCGCTAAAAAGATTTGTTATTTTAGAGTGGGGCCACGCCCACGTTTTAAACATTTTTTAAACTTCGGATGCCAAACCAAATGCGAATCGTTGTTCCAAAAAAAAGTCTTGTACCTTATTGTGATTTGATTACGCCTATCTTCGATACAATACATGTATCGAGATAAAACTTTGCACGAATAATGGCTGTAAAGCGAGCCGACTCATGACAAAAAATTGTCCAAATCAACCGACTGTTCAAGCCCCTAGGTCTATGTGGACCCCAGTATGTGCGAAATATATAATCGAAATTCTTTTCTGATATAAACAGTTGTTAACTTCCGGGTGACTTTATAACGCATATACCGGTCAAAATGTAAGTTATCTTAATGAAATTGAAACACGTGTTTTTCTATTAATAATTAATCTTTATGTCTAAAATATATAATATTGGGTGAAAACTTGACTTAGCCCACACATAACTAATATCAGGACTCTCGAACAGCCGGATAACTTTTAGCCCTTCCTTACTTGTTTGTGATGAGATTATAACTAAAGCAAGGCTTAGCATGTTTTAGACTGGACTGGAATTATATAATATTACCTGTCCAAACGTTTCATTTAAGTTAGAATTATCAAATCTTTGATTGCTTGTCTAAATGTACATTTGCAGCCATCATTCGATTGAATTGGGACATGTATGGTGATGGTTAGTCCATAAAGTAAACCACAAATGAATAGAATAATAATCGTTGCCTGTGGTTTTTTTTGATTTGTTACAAAAATTATATGAATCCTTAAAAAGTTGGAGAAAATTATTATTAGTCGTGAACGAAATATTATACAATATATAGTTTGGGATACTTATATTCCTGTATTATTGGACGATTTCGGGTGCGTGTGCTAATCAATTATCCAAAAAATCATGAACATTTTTAAAGCTCTTTAATTGTTTTTTCTCTAAAGAATTGAATAAGTTCTAATCTTTTATGACAGTCAGCGGAAATTAAATATAAACAATATATTTATAAAAATTAAAGCAGCTCTTCTGTTGTCTAACTTTGATAATTGATTAAAATATTATAAATCAATCAACTGTAGGTCAATAAGCAAAGGAAACATTTCCTTCTTAAGGTCCTAAGGATTTTGTAAGTGAATATATACATACATGTATGCTACCTCTTTAAGAAATTTCAATCAAATTAATCAGTTTCTATAAAAACACGTAAGTACATTTATATAGAAATACACTCCTATAACTGTTTATTTACAGCTCTACATCAACTCACGTTTCATTCCAACAACTGCGTCATTTTGACGGCGTACGACGGCCCACAGCAATTGATCCCTTTGACCTGCAGCGTTAAGCGAAATAACAACATTCATGAGTTACAGTATATAATTGAAATTAAATAATAAATTATGTGAAATTTCACTGTCATCGAGGTTAATGCATTTTATTATTAAATCTTATCAGGCAACGTAGCAGAGCAAGCGAAATTTTAAACTAGAATAAAATTACTCAAATACATACATAACAATATATGAGATTAAGAGAGATATCAAATCGGTAGGAAAGCAGAACATTTCTCCAGAAAACTTGTAGTATACGAATTTACAATCAAATATTATTATTTTAAACCTTCGAAACCATTACAAGAAATTATTTCTTTCTTAACTTCCTTATTATTATATTATAGTACATATTCTTATATTTTCGTTTTCGAAAGTGCAGGTAGCGTTACTGGGAAAATGTTATATTTATAGAAATACATTTCTACAAGACGGAAGTAACCAATTCAGTACTACACTTGCAAAATTTCACCTCTTACACCACTACATATTCAAAACTTATTATACCCTGAACAGGGTATATTAAGTTTGGCACAAAGTTCATAACACCCAGAAGGAAACGTCGGAGATCCTATAAAATATATACATAAATAATCAGATGAGCTGAGTTGATTTAAAAGTTGGAAAGGAACGAGTTCTTGTAAGGAATCTTTTGTATATGTATGGGGTATTATAGCTTCGGTGCAACCGAAGTTAACGTTGCTTTTGTTTTGGTAATAAATTTGTACAATTTGCAAAAGTTAATTTAGAGTAAGTCTGTGCAATATAAAATTGCAAATCAAGCTAAATATAAATCAAGTAAGAGCCGTCAAAGGGACCAACTCCCAAAAAAGTATTGCCTCACATCTAAAAACATCCTTTACTAGAATTTATACGAATATAGCAGGCAGTGTGAAGTTCCGTGACATATAAAACTCGGTCTGATAAAAATATTTGTAAAAGTTATGCCTAGAGATGTCTGTAAATGTGTATGTTTGGAAGCGAAATTTCCCTAAATCAGCTATACAAAACTTAAAGAGAAAATATTTGTAGGTCTACATATACGGCAACTGATAAAGGATGAGAGCTTTAAAAAAACTGAATCATTAGCAAAAACTCGCCTGGAAATGTTTTGTGAACAAAAATTACAAACACTTAATAAGCGTATAATGTCATAAAAAGCTTTGGGGTGTAATATGTCCTTAAAAATACGTATGCTGGACTTTTATTTGGATTTCTTTCCGGAAAATTTGCTGTGCTTGGCGAGTAGTAGAGGTTCCATTATTTCCTTAATTGAGGAGCACTATCAAGGGAAATGGAGCTCAGGATTACTGTTGAGGACTTAAAGAAGCCCTTCCAGAAGCCAAATATTCATTAATATAATTTTTCCTATATAATGCTATTTCTCAAAATGTAGCAGATGTTTGTATTTTTTATGAAAATATATATTTTGATGTCACGAGGAAATCTGACGTGTTTTTTTATTCACATATTATTGTTTAGTAGTCCTAGTACATTAAAATTTTGATATGAGTTTTCATGTGAGGAAAAAAAATTAAAATTTTCTAAACTATTGTTTTAGTAGTTTTTTCAACACAAGTGTTTATTTTAGTAAACGATTTATACCAATTAATTTAAAGTCTTACTATCTTGGCAACTCTGTTGATAGTAGAAATGAGCACCGCAAGAGAGGAAATCTGACATTTGCTGTTTACGTCATTTTGATAAACTCCATAATGTTATCAAAAAGCTTTCAGCTGTTATCGCCAGTGAAGCGTGAAATGTATTCCTTGAGCAGGAAGTAAGCGGTGGCGTATGAGTAACAGCAGAAGAGCAACAAGCTGTTCCTTACGGAGGAAAGTGCCGAAAGAAATTGGGACACTGTTTACGGTTTTAACAATGGCATATAATTTTTAAAATTTCTCAATAACGAAATATACGAAACAGATATTATTGTTTATTTGATGTTATTTGGAAAATGAAAAATTTCAAATACTTGTATACCAAATAAGCTTTTGTACTTCTGTTAATATAGCTATTGTCCTATTATTATCACAAAGTTAACTTACAGCCATATTTTAACATCTATGTTTATTTATATTTGTGTGTATACCAGCTGCGTAAAGTAAAGTGAAAGTGATGTATATCAAAACAACAATAACATAGTGGACGAAGAAGCAAATTTGCAAATACGCAATCACATCAGTCAATGCACTACCTCGCTGTTGCAAACAACGCTGAATTTCAACTCATACGCAACGCAAACGATAGCAAACCAAATAAAATACAATTCAGTACATTAAGACAATTTGCTGAATAAATGTTAGGCAAAGTAATCGTAAACTATTTTGTTATTCATAACTAAATTTTCACTCCGTGTTAGCCGCGTAGTGCGTGTGTATATTTGCTACAATAGAGGTAATAGAGAGAAAGAAAAGGCGAGAAAAAAATTTTCAAGCAGCGCTAACATATTGTAATACAAATTTTCCGGAAGCAAATTCCTCTGGCATACAAAAGTGGTGTTGATTTACGGTGAGTGGAAAATAATATGTTAGCTTTTAAGCTTTATATATTTTAGCTTACGATAAAAGTCAGATTTTTTACTAGCAGTTTTATAGAGTTTCACAAAGTACTCCGTTATCTGTTTGCTGCCATGTATAAGCAGTTAATACTTTAGCATTAACGCCAGCTCTTATCTGAAAATACACGCATACATACATATGTGTATGTATTTGTATTTGTATTTGTATGTGTATTTGTAGTTATCTATTAGTAATCTCAAATCCTAAATCAATTATGATTAGCACTGGGGAACACCACTCAGCGCCCATATTGTGGCAAGTAATCTCCCCACTGTCAGTTGCAGCCCGTTGAAGATCATGAAAATCGCTGACACCTTTGACAGCTTTCGTTTTCAAGTAAACAATGCAGCATTTCGCACATATTATTGCCACTGCTGCTTAGTCACTCACGTAAAAAATGTTAAAAGCAATTTTCTTAAAGTCGCATATTAACCAGCTAGTGGTGCCAATAAACAGCTGTTGCGCGTTTAGACTCTTGCTGCTTGCACGCCTTGCATATTTCGCTTGCGCTTGTGAATTTTCTGCTGCATATGCATAAATTTAAACGCAACTCATACAGGCACCATTAAACATGCAAAGAACAGTGCACCTTTTGAATATTTAACACGCATATGATTAATGCCATACATTCTCGACAGCTTTCGACACGCACCCGAACAACGCCTGCACCATATTTGCGCTGAGCATTCACCATATTTTTCATCAATATCTGCTAGTGGGCTTGTTTGAGTGCTTGCCGCATTATTTGCTTTACTCTTGTTTAAGTATTTGTTCGCTGCGTGTTTACTTGGCAATATTGCAATGCAGAAATGGTTGGCTTAAGCGAATGGCGCCACACCTCCTGAGGCTAGTTCAACAGGAAGTCGTCTACCAACACCTGTTTGTGCGTCAAGACGCCATTATTATGTTTTTCTGCGCCGTTACTTTTATTATTTATGTGGCAAACTGCTTGAGTGGCTATGTATTTTCTGTCTGTTTGCTATCTTGCCGCAGGACTTTTCACTTTGCTCGCATTATTGTGCAAATAATGAGCGTGCAACGACAATGTTTACACTTGCCTCTGCTTTCTGTGCGTGTGTGTGTCTGGGTGCGCGTGTGTTTGCATAAATTTCCACTGTATTGTGTGCATTCTGTTTATTGTTCGCTCCTAAAGACATATCCAATTGCAGAGGCGTGTGGGATTGCTCACAATTAAATGCCACTTCGCGCCGCTGCCCAGTGTAGGTGCTTTGATTGTTGCATCTAAAATTATTTTTGTTACAACAAAAGCTTTGCGCAAGGCGTGTGGGGGCCTAACATCTGCGTCTTATCAATTCTGGTGAAAACAGCAAAGTTTTGCACATAATGTTGCTCATTTATTTTTATGCGTCGTAATTGGCAGAAGTTCGTCTTGTCGTTGGTTTTGTCTACATGTTTTTCTAGACTATTGCTGACATTTCTAAATTAGCAGGCATTTGCGGATGCGCACGAAAAACGTTGTTTGAGAATTTCTTGTTTACAAATTTACCTGTGGAATACGAATCTAGCGATTGCGTGTCGAATTTGCGAGTTTGTGCTGTTGCTGGTAATTAACAGTTAGTTAGAGTGTTTTTGACATTATTTAGCTTTCCCATCGCGATTTCGCCAGCATAATTGCGCATTTATATTGAGCCTAGTTTCAAAGTCATTACTGAAACTTCTTGCTTTATAAATAAAGGGTGGTTCTTTGGACATGTGGAGAAGAAATAAATGTCATATAATGTAAGGTTATAGTCAAGGATTTAGCTTTATTATTAAAATGAGCGTTTGCCATTATGTTTTAAAAATGACGTCGGGCAAGTGACCGCCGCGGCTGGCTCGAATAAATTCCCGCCGAGAGACCCAGCAGCAACACGCCAAATATTCTCTTAAAAGCACGATTTGCAAACGTTGTTCCGAAGTACGTCTGTTCACTATGAAATTGCAAATCAAACGTAGTATATATCACATTACAGCTGTCAAAAAGACTAACTATATTTCACAATTTCATCGATATTTTCGGTAAAAAATCAACTATGAGCATTGAGGTCCACATATTCGGTATCTTGCCATATCTTAGAAACACTATTTGTGCAAAACTTTATTCTGATAACATTATTGGCTCCCGCTTTATTTACTGGAAAGTGAAAAAATCAGAAGGAATTTAATATATTATATATATAATAATATATAAAAAGTAGACGTCGTTATTTTCCGATTTCCCATTTTCACTTTGAAAAAATGTTATGTAGCAAACAGGAAATTGAAAATTGTTTCAGTAGTTTCTGAGATATGGGATTTCACCTTAAGGTGGGCAGGGCCTATTTTAACTACAATTCTAATACCAGCTCCTATAAAGCCGTTCGGATGTTAAATTTAATGCTTCTGAAGTATTTATTTAATGAGTTATCGTCCTTCAAATGCCGTTATAATATGACATTTTACATTTTTTCTATTTATGGCATTTGCGGGGGTGACAGTGTCCGATTCCGCTCATCTGCACTACCGAACTACTTTTGGTACCAAGTCACCACTATATTTAAAGTTTTACCTGCTTGGCCGGATGGTAAAAGAGTCTCCCGAATTTCAACTCGACTCGTCATCCCGATTATTTTATATGGTATATAAAACTCTACGTATACCTCGATTAGTTGTATGGATTACATAGAACCGTTGGGTGAACTCCTCCTGTTGAGGAAGTAAAAAATCTTCAAAATGTAGTAATAACCACTCTCACCCATTTATGTATGTGTTACGGCCATGCTCTAAACTATTAAAATTGCGATAAAATTCTTATTAAAAAAAGCAAACACCTTTAATTTAACAGCATGTATATAAGTCTAAAAAATAGGTAAGAGGCTTGGGACAGATCTCAGATATTTCTTCAAATACAATTTACTTCCAGACAATTTCATTGTCTTTCTTTCATTCTTATTTTCTACAGAGGTAATTCCATTTGGTATGACAACATCAATAGATAATTCAAGCAACAAAATTTTACATACGGCAACTCTTATCTAAAATATATCAAATCAAGTTCATACCATTTTCAGAATCCATTTACGAATACACCTTACACCTTATATAATAATTTCGACCTTACGGTAGCTTTTATAGAGTATGCACGACAAATATGTGAGGTATCTCATTGGAATGAAGTAAACATGTGTCCTTCAGCTAGACATTTCCCTATAACCCATATTCGAACCTCTGGTTGGCTTGATGCTGTATATATCACTTATAACAATATATCAATAACATTAAATATGAAAATCTTATATAGTATAACGAGATTCGGTATCAAAGATCAAGAAGTAAGCATGGCACAAAGGGAGCTCAGGCTCAACATGATTTCGCTGAAAACAAATAAAGCAATTTTAATATCCATCATTATAATAAAAGAAACTAACAAATTTTTTGTTCAAATAGTTCGTTTATCGGTAAACTGGATATGTTAAATATTCGTTCTTGGAGAGTGGAGTAGAAATGTTTAAATGGTTGATCAATGCTTTATTTTTTGGTAAATATCGATTTTATAAAGTCACGATTGTGATTAGTTATAATTGTATGTGTTTTTCGTACTATGTTGAAAGAGGATACGGCTTTATAAAGGATTTAGATTTTTCTGTCTGGTTATAGTTTATGTTTATGATTTCCATATCTAAATAGATATTCATGTAATATATGTATTTAATTTTCAATGGTTAAAATGTTTTAAATTTTTTGCTTACCACTCTGTAAACACGAAAGCCTTTGCCAGCCAATGCACTGATGTTACATTTGTTAAATTACAGTCTATGTTTAATGCGTCAATCTAATGGGACGATAAATTTTAATTACAAATGTGACAGTAGTGGTATTGTCGTACTTTTAACCGGTTTACTATCAAGATAAAATTGTTAGCAATCAATTAGTTGTCTGATTTGATGCGGCAATTTAAATTAGTTATGTATGCACCTTTGTATATTCGTCCTTTCCACTACTTTGGTAACATTACGAGTAACATTTTATCCTATTTATAACTAAACTAAATTGCTTCTTCCTAAAATTATTTGGATATATTTATGTTAGTGGTTGCCATGAGATGAACTGTGGCTGTGTAAATAAACACGAAAGTAAAGACAGCTAGTGAGACCTTTAAACCTTACTCTACTTGTAAGAAAAAATGTGAGAGGTTATGAAAAAAATTAAGCACTTTGGTTAAATGAATTGTTTGTATGTAGGTTATATAAAACATACTAGTTTTTATTATGTTTACTGAGTTCATCTAGATATAATATCGTCTTTATTTTACGATGGATATCGAGAAGTGCCGAATAGACCAAAACTTTTGGGTTTTCAGTCTCCAAAGTGTAGAGGATTACCCTTAGGTTAAAGCTACGAAAACTGAAAATCGCATTATGTAAAAAGCTTTTCATTACCCATATTTAATGTGTTAAAAAAGTTTTTATCTGAAATTGGATGAAATTTTGAGAAGGAAGAACATTTTGGAATGAAAATCTATAACGAACGACGTACTTATGTCGGTAGCGCAAACATTCGTCCTTTATAATGTAACCGCAATTTTCGACTGGTTTGGAAATCGCTTAGTCCTAAGGCAACTTCAATAATTAATTATCGATATTTTTATTGTTTTTTGAAGTTTTTACTTTCAAGAAATGCATATGAACTTTATTCAAAAATGGTGAAACAATTACATTAAAATAAGCCTGCAGCTGACACAAGAAATTATATCATCTCTTTGAGGAGTTTCTAAAGTAACTCTAACTTAATGCGGCATTTCTTGATTCATTAAAACATGGTTTTTTACTCTGTGCTGTGATACAAGTTCTTATCAGCGTCGCAAACTCCTTATCTTGTCGTGACATACTGACTTTGTTTCAATGCAAGAATTCGTTTTGCAGTCGCCAATGCAATCATGAATTTGAAATTTTTGCAAGAAGGGGAATTTCG